TGGGCTTTGAAGTAGCCAGGGAGAAAGAGAAGTATGTAGACTTTTGTTTCACAGTGGTTCCCTTTAAGTTACAGGTCCCAAAACAAGGATTTAAGGTATGGTACTCCAAAGCCCAGTAAATCCCCAAACTCTACATCCCGAAATCCCTAAACATTCAACTCCCCCCCAAGTTATTTTCAGACTCAGGGCCTGCGCCGGTGAGTCCTTGAACATGGCCACCTCGAGTTTTTGGGAACTCGGACTTTGGGGTTTAGGGCTTTGGTTTTCGGTCCTAAACCCTAAACCCTAAAATATGGCTTCAGGGATTGCACTCTGAGGGCTGAGGGCAACACTCTAAACCCTGAACCCCCAAACCGGACTTACCAAAGGTGCTTAGGGTTGAGGGTTCTGAAGCCTTGTCGCCCTAAACCGGGGGCACTCTCATGCCTCATGAAGTGCAAACAGGCATCGATCGTACGAAGGACGCCTGAGCCGTACTGAAACCGAATATGGGAGTTTCAGTAAACAAGCCACCAAGCTAGACTCAGCTAGACGCTCACAAGCGGGATCCTATAATGCTCGGGACCCCTTAAGTTTAGACCCCTGATGAATAACATCTCACAGCGGAGGTCTTCAAAACCCAGAACCGGAAGAGTCGGACCTTCCAGTGCCTGGAGATACGGTCCGGTGGGGCATGTAGGTTCTAGCGTGTAACCGTAACCTGGGGTTTTGGGTTTACGGTTCGGATTTCCCGTAAAACTCGAACCCACAAGAAAGGGAGGGTCCTCAAGACAAGGGTCTGGGGACCAGCTACGTAGCATAGGGTTGTGGCATGCAGTTTACAAAGGTGATTACAAGCGATGAACGTGACAGCCAAGACTTCCCGGCTATGGTACCCATGGGATCGAACAGTCGTGAATCACAAGTTCTGAACGCGTACAACAATCCGGAATCCTCCCAAGCCCAAACCATCACGAAATAAGGGCAGAACGCCCCGATTTGGCAGACTGTAGATTCCGGTCTGAGCATTGTCGTACCTTGCACAAGAGAACAGCATTCTGCACTTCGCTAATCCACCGTCATGGATGACAGTGCTTGCGCAATGAAGACACGGATGTCCTGCATACAACAATCATTCGTCTGTTGGCACAGGCTTCTGCTAGCCCAAAATGGTTTCTTATTGCAAGCACTATCTGTAAACCGTGAGGTGACAGGATTTTGTGTGCTGATTCAACTAGGACCTTTTTCAGCAACCTTGTTGATAATAACACGGCACACGTGTCTGGACCAAAGGACTTGCGCGGTGCATGACCGCACATCAGGCTTTTGATGGGGTACTTGTGTGGACAGGGGATGCATTCCCACGCAATTCCAGGAAACTGTTCTTGAGGCACTATTCACACTATGGGAGCGGGCAACGCAAAGCAGAGGCAACGAGCAGACATGATGGTCGTCTGCCTACTGCATCTGACTTGTGCTACCTGACAACATGCACCGCATCTCATCATTCAGCTGCTCCTCTTTTCTTCCGAATACACTCTTGACTTCTTATTGATGTGTTTGAGCTTGTAGACCAGGCCACATCCACACAACTGTTTTTCGTTGAGGGAACGGCGGCCGTAATTTTGCGAGACATCCCAAGATGACTCCGAGCAATTCCATGTCCTCTGTTGTTTTTTTCTACTGCGCCCGCAGAACTCCCGGAAAACCGACACAGCAAACCGGCCACGACAGCCCTAAACGCAAGTACCCTAAAGCCCCGTATCACTTCATCCTAAGGGTGCACTGGGATGCCCTGGCTTCTTTCATCTACAAAACCGTTAACCGAGACCACCAAAGGCCCAACAACACACACTTCTGGCCTTGTCGGACAAGAAGTTGGGCTCCCTAAACCCTAAACCCTGAACCCTAAACCCTAAATCCTGAAAACGTAAACCCTGAAATGAAACCTCTGAGTTTGCATGAAAACCCACTCAGAATTCTTTGAATGGAGACTTCCGTGATCCCAACATAAACCTTGGAGGACGAAACAAAGATTACTTGGGGCCTCAAAGAACTAATTAGAATAGGTATCGCTGATAACTTTGTGGTATAATAAGAAAATTTGGGGAATAGTCAACGTTGCTGGGAGCACCAATTTAGTGTTTGAAACTATTTGGGCAGTCACTGTCTTTCACAAGTTGCCGCAATAAGCCCCCTAAGCCCTGAACCCTAAACCCCGAATCCCTAAACCCAAAACCCCTGACATAAGCGCCCGACCCCCGGACAAGGCCACCTGCGAGTGGGTTTACTTGGCTTGCGAAATTTAGGGTTTGTGCGATTTCCCTAAGGCTCCATGTACTCATATGGTATATATTTAGGCCGTAAAGGTCTTGCAAAACAGGTGTTTTCATGCCTGAGTATATTCTATACAAGTACATGGGAGTTTCCGAAAATAGGAGACCCTATTTTAGTACCCTAAATGGTAGGATCCTTATTATAAGGACCCCAAATCACCGCACCCCTCATTTTAGGAAACTCCCGCATGGAGCCCTATGGTTTCTGGTTCAGGAGCCGGCAGTGCACGAATTCGAGCTCAGTCGGCGAATTTCGAGCATGGGAGTTTCCCAAAATTAGGGTACCTTATTTGGGGGGTCCTTATAATAAGGATCCTACTATTTAAGCTGCTATATCGGGGTCCCCTATTTTCGGAAACTCCCACATGAGTATATGAGTGACTTGCACCAGGGGTGATGTAAGCTTCCGGGGCCTTGGGGTTGACAGGACCCTGAAGTACTATAGGGGCCTTAATAATAAGAAAGGGTTTTGGGGCCCATTAGACGACAACTTATAATAAGGAGCCACCAAAATATTTTAGGCAATTATTCAGTACACCCCCATAAGCCCCGTTATAGTAACTCTAATAGGACCCTTTCCTAGAATCCTGTAAAGGGAGACTAATTCTAAGTATTAAAGCCCCTATAGTACTAAAGCCCCGAAGCATCACCGGCACAGTTTCCCACCTCCGGGGGCGGCCCACCTCGGTTGGGAGCCGCTGTTAGGGTTTAGGGTTTAGAGTTCAGAGCTCAGGATTTAAGATTTCGGGTTTTAGGGTGTTGGGCTTTAGGGTTTAGGCTACAGGGTCTACTGTAGGGTCTGGGGGGCAGGGAATTTCGGTGGCTTCCGTTTTGTTTTCGGGCCAGGGGCATTGGCATGCCAAGAACGAGGAGTGCTTGATGAGTCCCATGAGATGTTATCGCATCTTGCTTCTGTTGTGATGTCAAATGTTCTTCTGTATTATGGCTTGTAACGTTATTCTCAGACATCATTCTGATGCCGACTTTGGTGTGTCTGAACAGCCTAGTGTCATCGAGGCACCGTTTGCATCACGAACAGTAGAAAACCACCCAAAGTTGTCTCGTTGCTTCTCCTGTTGTCGCCTCGCCAAACTCTAAACCCCATGCCTTCAAGCCAAAGCCCCGAAGCCTATATACACTCTAAACCCTGAACCGTCGCTGAGGGCTCAGCTTGATCACGCAACCACGAAGAGGTGGCTTGCCGTCTGAGTCTCCGGCATGTATGTCAGCAACGATGAACCATTGGGGACCTGGGGGTGCCAGCTCTAGTAAAGTGGCCCTAATAGTAGAGATAGGGCTCGAGGGGGGCATGGTATCATAAGGAGGTAGGTCATGTAAGGTTTTTGGTTCGGGCTCAAGGAACCTCAAGCCAGGATCATAACTCGCCTGCAACCCCGCCCCGACTCCAAGCCTCCTCGCCTCTAAAACACGTCAAAGTCGGGCGTTCCTGGCTCTGCTCCCGGAAAGGGAACTTCTAACCCTTCTTGGCACAGTTCCGCCCAAGAGCAAGAGCCCGGAATCTGAAACATGTCGATCCTGAACCGCGCGACATTCAATTCTAGGACGGAAGTGATTCCAGTGATTCTAGCGGATTCTAGCGGTTAATAGAGCAATAGGGACCATGATACGCACAAGAAGATACAAGAAGCAGCCTCATCATTCTTGTTTCAATGTCCAGACGAGGACTACGACCTTCCACTGTGCCCCCGGCAAGCCAGTGGCAGTTCGGCAGTGCCCAGAGACCATGGAAGCTTTATTCAGAGTGTTTGGATTTTTGGCTTTGCCCTTGCTGGCTTGGGGACTAGCTGACTAGCAGTTGGGGTAGCGTTGGCCTGAGAGCTGAAAGATTGATGTGTCGGCTTGGCTTCAGGGCTCTTAGACAAAAGCTTGAAACCAACTTATGGCCGGATGAAGACTGATACCGCCGTACCACGAACAAGCCCCAAGCCTACCTGCCTATATATGCCAAAAAGCCTGAGCTCTAAACCCTACTGACCTAATTTGAATGCCTACATCCACAAGCCTAACCAGTGACCGGGCAAAGAAAAGTTGCGGAAGTCATCTCGAGTTGGGCTTTGAAACAAAATTCTGCAAACTTCCTACTACTTTGATCCTCGAAAAAGTCAGTCCTACACCCCAGATTCGAAAGCTTAGAAACCTAGCAACTTCGGACTTGAGCACTTTAAGCCATTTGAGCCTCTGAAAGCTGGCCGTGTGTCTGGGAGGGTGTCTCGAGGCACCCTAGTTCAAAACGAAAAGGCCCAACCATGCAGTGCGACATTATGTGGGGGTTTCCGAAAATAGGGGACCCTACAATAGTACCCCACATAGTAAGATCCTTATTATAAGGCCCCCAAAATGTAGCTGCAGTGTGCTGCAGTAACAGTTGCAGTAGCTGTAGCTGGCGCGCAGTAGCAGCAGCAGTATATAGCATCTCCCTGCAATGACAGATGTCTGCTACTTCCGAGGTTTCTGAGCAGATAGCAGTCCGTTCCTCGACCGAACAAATCCATGTGGGGGAGGCTTTGTCACCCCACATCTCTCGTCTGCCAACAGCAGGTCGGTTGGTCGACGAACTGAATCCGCTACGGGAAACCTTAACAACCGATCGTCCTGAAGGAGCTTAGTCATGCACAGAAGCCGTGCGAGTGACACAACTTGCCGAAGTATTTGCTACCCCGTGTCTCAGTGCCAATACCAATCGTAGCCGTAGGAGTCGTAGCTCCAGGAATTGAAGGCGTTTCGGTGCTTCTTGCCTTTGCCGCCGTTTGGCTTCTTGCCGGACTTGCTCTTGCCCTTCCCTTTGCCCTTGTTGGGCTTGGGAAGCAGAGTGGGCAATTCGTCCACCTGCTTGGCTGGAGCGGGCTCCTCCGAAAGGTCTGCCCACGAAGGTTGAGCAGGAGTCGATGTGGATGGTGGGGTTGGATTTGGGGGGCATGCCCGTGTTGGAGTGGCGGCAGGGAGCTGAATTGGGGGTGGCTGTGCATGTGAAGCCGGGGGCTGGGGGAATCGCTGGTTGGTGCAAAGTAACGGTGGCTGTGAAGTAGATGCTGGGCAGAAAGGTGATTGATTTGTGAATGCTGTGGGCGTAAAGTAACACGGGGGGTGGTTGAAAGGATATGTGAGCTGTTGCGTTGGCCAATGGCCGGGCTGAGCCCAGGTATTGTTGTATGCTTGCTGGAGCTGTGCCAGCTGGCATGGAGCGAATACGTGGACAAACTGTAGCCACCACTCTGGTGGCGGTGCGAGGCCACCGTGGTAGGTGGGGCCATAGGTGGCCTGCTCGTCCATGAAGGCAGGCGCCAACCGGACTGTCTGCACACCAGCCATGACTCGGCTTGCGGCTTGAGTTCTTCGGTTCGACGCTGAGCCAAATGCCGCGACGGAAGCACAATGCAAGAGACAACCCTGGTTACTGGTTGCACTTCGCAGACGGAAAGGGACTGTGAACCCGCACCGAGCATCTCTATCTCCTGGCGCAACGACTTCCTGACTACCATGATGCCCAGAAGCCGCAGGTAGCGCACGCAACTACACCAAGATACCGGACTGCTGCAACAAGATGTTTTTTTCGACTGCTGAATCCGTTTCATCTTCCAAGTAGAATACGAGATTGAAATGCTATTCTGATGAGTCGCCATGATTTCGTAAGGAACGTACGAACACCACCCCCCTCAGAACTGTCTTCCCGCGACAATCCTGTGGCAAAGTGGATCTCATGACCACCCCGTGTGGACATCTACTACTACTACTACTACTACTACTACTACTACTACTACTACTACTACTACTACTACTACTACTACTACTACTACTACTACTAGTACTAGTACTAGTAGTACTAGTAGCTGCTACTGCTACTGCTACTGCTGCTGCTACTGCTACTGCTACTGCTACTGCTACTGCTACTGCTACTGCTACTGCTACTACTACTACTAGTACTACTACCACTACCACTACCACTACCACTACCACTACCACTACTACTACTACTACTACTACTACTACTACTACTACTACTACTACTACTACTACTACTACTACTACTACTACTACTACTACTACTAACGACTACTACTGCTACTGCTACTGCTACTGCTACTGCTACTGCTACTGCTACTGCTACTGCTACTGCTACTGCTACTACTACTACTACTACTACTACTACTACTACTGCTACTCCTTCTTCTTCTTCTACTACTACTACTACTACTACTACTACTACCGTTAACGACTACGGCCAATGCCAGTAGCAGCAGAAGACATGGTGTAAGACTAACAATGAAAGAATAACAATAGAAGTACATGCGTGGCAGAAATAACGACTGCGACGACGCAAAGCAATGCTGCAGCCTTCAACTTCAAGAAGTGACATCGTGAACGAAGTGATCTTCAGAAAGCATCCCGATTTCTTCCGGCACATGGGAGGGTCTGTACAGTAGTCTGTACAGTGATGGCAGCCTATGGTAACCCAGCAGGCGTCAGAATCGCCGTGTCTTTCGCTGTGCCTGCCACGTGTGCGTTTCAGGGTTCTCGCACCACACTCAGACGAGATAGCTGCAGCTACACCGACACGCCGCATAAGTGTATGCACGAAAATTGCCATAAGACATAACCGTAGAGCCCACTAACGTCAGACACCCCAATAAGGAAAGCTTGGAGCGAACACCACCGCAAACCCTTTGCCGAAGCAGATTATGCCACGAATACCTACAACGCACATGTTACCGGATTGTCGAACATTGACAACAATCAGAATGCGAACACAATGCTAGCCCCTGTCTTTGTACCACGAGGAAAGGTGCTGACGATGTTTGCATCGATCACGGATACAATTCTGAATTCTAACGAAATCGGGAAGCACAGAAGCGGGAACCAGGAACATTATGACATCAAGGCCAAAGAGTATAATTGCAGACGAAGGGTAATGGGGTCGTCGTAGTAGTAGTAGTAGTAGTAGTAGTAGTAGTAGTAGTAGTAGTAGTAGTGGTAGTAGTGGTAGTGGTAGTGGTAGTGGTAGTGGTAGTGGTAGTGGTAGTGGCAGTGGTAGTGGTAGTGGTAGTGGTGGTGGTAGAGTAGACTGGTTGTTACAGGAGCAATTGTAGCAGGAGCAATGGAGGACTAGTGTGAGCAGCACAGTCTCCACTGGCAGCAGAGGGGCAGGACAGCCAAGCAGAAAGTGAATTAAATACAACAACAACTCGACAACATAGAGTTACTATGACTACCAATTACTGATACGATTATTGCAAACATTCCTGCTATTACTAGTACTTCTTAGTAGTATGCAACAAGCCCTTTCGCACCCTGGCCGCCTGACCCCCAGGCTCTTCTGGGCTCGAGGGCGCAGGCGCCGGGGCCGGCGCAGGTGCCGCAACGACCTGCTTTCGGCTCTACCTGTCGTCTCCATTGTTGTTCCTTTTTGGGGTTACCTTATAGGATCCTTATTATATGGTTAAACCAAAAATAGGAACTACAATGGAGACTATAGGTAGCTGCTACTACTACTACTACTACTACTACTACTACTACTACTACTACTACTACGAGCCACACACACACACACACCCCATCCGCCCGCCAACCACATCCTTGCTGTTGGACTGCGACATCACGAAAGTACGGCGCATAACGAAAGTAAAATTGATATCTTCTTAAAAAGTGCGTCATCCTGCCCTCCTCACCCCCTCTCACCCCGCCCCCACCCCCCCCCACACCGCAAGCTGCAACAGTGCTCAACAGCGGTGGTTGGTATTGGACTACGACATGACGAAAGTACAGTAAAAACCAAGTACAGTAGATGTGTTGAGGAGGGTGCTTGGTAGGGGGGCGCCCACTAAATCTACTACTACTGATAACAATAGAAATACGAACAAATACTTCTTCTTCTTCTACTAGTACTACTACTACTCCTACTACCTTGTCAGTCACATCTTAGTCGGTAATGCCACCGCAGCCTTCGCTGGCTTCCGCGAGGTCTTCAGCGGCTGGCACTCCGAGTCCCAGTACTCCTGGTGTCGTCACCACTACTGCGGCTGCTCGTGCGAAGGTTCAGGGCAAGTTTAGGGTTTCAACTGTTTAGGGCAGTAGCAGCGATACGACTGCCAGGCAAACGATCAAACAGCTGTTCGGCATGCATGTAGCGTCAGGCAGTCTTCTGGTCCTAACACAGATGCTAATGCTGCAGGCGTCAAGCCTAAAACACTACTTCAGCGTGAGAGTGAGTTCCCCTTCCCTCGCACTCTTAGAACTACCCCTACTTCGAGTCCTACTCCTACCTCTGCAAAACCCTGCAACGAGGAAAACGAGGACTCCTACCACGTTACTTCTATTTCTATTTCCGCCTCTACTTCTCTTCTGACTCCTACTCCTGCTCCTGCTCCTGCTCCTCCTCCTCCTCCTACTGCTAGCCCTACTCCGACTCCTACTGCTATTACTGCTACTGCTACTGCTGCTACTAAAACTACTAGTACAACTAATCCTACTCCTACTCCTACAACAACAACTACTACTACTACTGCTACTACTACTACTACGACGACTACTACTACTACTACAACTACAACTACAACTACAACAACAACTACCACTACTACTACTACTACTACTACTACTACTACTACTACTACTACTACTACTGCTACTACTACTACTACTACTACTACTACTACTACTACTACTACTACTACTACTACTACTACTACTACTACTACTACTACTACTACTACTACTACTACTACTACTACTACTACTACTACTACTACTACTACTACTGCTACTGCTACTGCTACTGCTACTGCTACTGCTACTACTACGGCTACTGCTACTGCTACTACTACTACTACTACTACTACTACTACTACTACTACTACTACTACGACTACGATTACGACTACGATTACGACTACGATTACGTCTACGACGACGACTACTGGTACCACTACTACCACTACTACTATGACGACGAACCTCCTGACAAGACAAGCTCCGCTCCTGGATGTCCTCTGCCATCCACAAGCTCTTGTACTTCTCCTGAAGCCTTCAGATGGGTGGTTGTGAAAATTATGGTCCCTGTTTGGGTCCTTATTATAGTACGGCACCGAATATTTAGGGTACCCAAAAGGGGACCCTAATTTTGACAACCACATGGAGAACAAGAAAAGTTGAAAGCAGGGGGAGGGGTGGAAGAGCCAGGCCCCCGAAGACCAGCCAACTAGCTGCTCCTAGAGGAACGTCCAGACGTATTCGGTTGTTGAAATCTGGTTAGGGTGTCGGGCAGCCTATACCAAAAAAGCTGACAGAAGATAGACAGTCTATTGACTTTGATCGTACTTGTTACTACTGGTGAATACAAGTAGTCTACGCATCTTGACAGCAACATGCGCCAAGATTGAACAAATTGATGGTCATCGGACGCCAGTACAAAGCACAAAACGATGCCACCGGCAATGGCCAGCCCACCAACTACACATAGAACACATTTACAGTCAACATGACTAGGCCCAGCAGACAACCATGTCTACCCGGTCAATTCAGGAGAAATCCGCACAACATCGGCGAGAGCGAACGTCGCACCCGACGGTGACCCGTTTCTGGGCACGCTGCTCTTCAAAGGTCAGCTCCTGCACAACATCAGCCACTGCACCATGCGAAAGGAATGCTGCGCAGTGTCAGGAAGTGGCCTGATCTCCTTGTACGTACTCTGGGGATAATGCAGGCTCTGCAATTTTGCAGTCGTGAAGAGGAGAATTAGATTAAATTGCGGATGCGAAAGAGCAGTCGCAGTCCTGCTGCCAGTGCAACTTTTTGTCACTGCCACTGCTCTTGTACTGTTAGCCAGCACAGCTCCAAGGAAGTCTCCGGCACTGAAGAGCAGCAGAGCCGGGACGTGGGAGCCGCCATGGTGCGTAGTAGGGAACTACACTGAACTTAGAACCCTAGCACAAATTACAATTTTAGCTGTTTCTTCGGGATTATAATAACCAAAAATTAAAGATTATTTCTAAGTACCCCTAAGGGAGATTTTCATGGGGACTATTATTGGGGACTATATTGGGGACTATATATAGGGGCTACTATAGGGATCCATTCCCCCCCACAGAGTCAATCATCAAGCGCCTTATCTCCAAAGCCCGGTCAAGCAATCGGCTGACTCCTGAGAATCGTCAGGATCGATGCGCTTCTCCTCTCCCTGACAGAGCTTGGGGTTTGGGGCTCTGTTGACTTATGGCTTGGCCATCTAGGGTTAGAAAACTTTTGAGGATTTGGTGTGGACGGGCCAAGGCTTTGTGCATCTATGAGCATTGTGATTCTTGCGATTATGTTCTTCGCTTGTTGCTGTTTTTGAGGCTCCGTTGCACAGGGCACCGCCTCCTCGATGGGAGCATCCTCCTCCACCTCGGCCGCGGCCTCAGCCCAAGACCCAAGACAATAAGGTGGTCGATCCAAAAAGGTCCGCTTCAGTTGATTTCCTCGAAACATGTGCGGCTTACCAGGAAGCTGCTACTGCTACCGCCACTGCTGCGGCTGAAGCTCCCGTTCCTGCTATTACTTCCGTTACGACTACTACTTCTTCTGCTACTAGCTGCTACTACTACTACTACTACTACTACTACTACTACTGCTGCTGCTGGTGCTGGTGGTCATGGCGCTGATGGTGGTGGCAGGGGCGTTGGCTATGGTTTGCGGTGGAGCCACGGCTCTGATGGCGGCGAAGAAGAAGATGATGAGGAGGAGGACGAGGTTTAGGGTTTAGGGTTTAGGAGGACGAGGAGGGGAGGCAGGAGTGTAACCACGATGGTGAAGATGGCGATGTCGATGAACTTGTGACGATTTGGCGGCAGTTGCATGGTTCCAGAACTGAAGTGTACTTCCGCCCACGATGATTCAGACTACAAAATTCGGGGTTGTTGTCGCTGTTGCTGTCTGTCTGACTACGCGCTGGTTCTCCCGACTGTCAAGCTACAAGAAAAGTCCGGAGAATGTAGCCAATTAACACCATCGCAAGACCACTGCCCACAGGCCCCATAGTAGCTCCTTTTGGGGGGTTCATATTTAGAAAAGGTAATCCCAAAAAGCAACTACCATGTTAATCAGAATGTATGATCCCGACACCATCGACCCGTCCAAGGTGCGGCCGAAGCCGGTTCTGGCGCCGGAGCCGGCGCAGGTGCGGACTTGGCAGGGGCCTTTGCCGCGGGCCGCGGCCGTGCCTTGAGATCCGGCAAGATTCGACACAGCTGGAAGTACAAAGCTGAAGATTTCCAAGGGTAAAAGGAGGGACCCTTAATAGAGACCCCTAAGTATATATCTATTATTAATATACCCATTATATAGCCCATTCTAGGGTAGGGGTCCCCATTAAGGGTCCCTCCTTCTCCCCTTCGAAGATTTCGGTTGAGGCTCCAGAGCCTAAGCCCTAAATCCTCAACCCTGGGAGCTTCTTACCACAAATGTTTCAGACGATGAGAGCACTGGGATCGAGGTCTGGCAGGAAGAACTAAGAACATGTACCTATAGCCTCCATTGTAGTTCCTTTTTGTTGGCTAACCAGTCATATGGTTAGGATCCTATACTATAGTTGTTGGTGAACCAAAAAAAGGAAGTACAATGGACAATGGAGACTATAGGCACCCTTAAAATCTCATGGGTTGAACTCCCTTCCCCTTTCGGATCCTGAACAGGGAACTCCAGAAAGTTGGAATATAGTTTCAGGGTAGGATACCTTATAATTTACCATAATGAAGGGTTTACGATAATCATATTCCAACTTTCTGGCTTTTACCTTAAGCCATAGCGCAAAGACAGCTCCGGGGGGCTTCAGAATCCAAGCGCGAGCAGTTCTTGGGCCCAAAGGGGATACAGGCTTCGGAGTTGTTGTGCTTTCTTTCTCCTAAACCCTAAACCCTAAACCCTAAACCGTGATTCTTGTTCCATGAGGTGCAGGGTTCGGGAGGCAAGCTTGGCCTACTACTGCTCCTAACTGCTCGTATTCCTCCTACTACTGGTCCTATACGCCCTAGATCCAAACCCTAAACCCCATAAACCCTTCAACCCAGTAAACCGTTAGACCCTTTATACACCCTAAAGCCCTATAAACCCTTAAAGCCCTATAAACCCTTAAAACCCCTGAGCCCTAAAGAAGCTGCCACTGCTACCACTAAGCAACCCACAAAACTCGCCGGGGAAAAGGCCTCGGTCATCTCTGGAGGTCGCTGTGCGTTCAGGATGGCGGTGGCGTCTGCCCTGGCTTTAGAATCCCTTAAGCCTACTTGTCCGAACTGAAGGATAACCTTTGGGAGTATATTGAGTTTTTTAGACATATCAGTGTCCCAAAAAGGTTAGAAAGGTTGCCTACTCTACTACGAGGTGAGGCTCCAGTTGCCTAAATAGTAGGTTACTCAGCATCTATCTTGTAACACAGTAAAGGGAACTCCAGAAAGTTGGAATATGGTTTCAGGGTAGGATACCCTATAATTTACCATAAAGGGTTTAGGATAATCATATTCCAACTTTCTGGCTCTTACTGTAAACCATTGTTGAGTTATCTGAAGCCCTGGGGTTTTGTTAGGGCTTTAGGGTTCTGGATGTCTAGGGTTTTGGGGTTTAGGGTCGTAGGATGTTGGGCTTGGGGGGGCCAGAGGGTTTAGGGGTTGTGGGGTCTTATGGTTGAGGGTAGTGGCATAAGTTGAAAGCTCAAGGCCTACACAGCTTTAGGTTGGCTTAACCATGTTGTCTGTTCGCTTCTGTTGGCTTCTTTCGGCTTCCTTTAGCTCCCGTTGGCTTCTTTCGGCTTCCTCTAACTTCCGTTGGCTTGCTCTGGTTGTTGCTAACTTTCTTGAAAGCTTCGGCTGACTTCCCTGGATATTTCACCCTTCAGGAAGCAAATCTGCAGTAACACCCCTTGGCCCCCCATCCCACTGACTGTATGATCATACTATAGGGGCCTTATAATAATTACCTATACTGTTTTGGGGGAGTTGCTTATCATCATTACGGTATACTGGTCCCCAAAACCCTATGCTAATTTTTAAGACCCCATATATTCTGGCTTTTGGAGGAGCTGGCGGCTTCGGGGACCTGCGTAGGGGTCTGGGTGTCGGTTCAGACCCCAGGCTTTTTCAAAAGCGTTTAGGGTTTAGGGTTTAAGGTTAAGGGTTCAGGGCTCTGTACCTATAGTCTCCATTGTAGTTCCTTGTTTGGGTTAACCAAAAAGTATATTATAATATTGTCGGATCCTAACCATAAAACTGGTTAACCAAAAGAAGGAACTGCAATGGAGACTATAGGTAGGGCTTCGGGGGATCAGGAGGGTTCTTTGAAGCTTGAGGTTTTACCTGCTGGGATTAGGTTCGAGATTTCCTTCTGCCGATCACACTACAAACGTGCGGCTAGCGCTTAGAGTTTAGAGATTAGAGGGTGTAGGGTCGAAAGTCTAGGGTGGGTGCGCCAAACTCGACTCCATTGTCTTGTAGGAACCTAGAAAGATCCAGGGAACACTGCTGAAAAGATGCACAATGCGATCTCTCAAACCCGGCCCTAAACCCTCATTAAAACCGAAACCTCAACTCGAAAGCCTCAGCCCACAAATAAAGCCTAAACTCCTTCAACCCCAAACCCTCAACCCGAAAGCCTGAACCTCATAAGTTCGATAACCTCTACTCCCTAAAGCCTTGCAATATAGAAGCCTCAACAACCACCCACATCTGATTATACAGGCCGCTATCGTGCTTGGAGGATCATGGGACTTAGTACGTGTTGTTATAGGTACCTTAATTGGGGTTAGAAGTAGAGTTACCCTAATTATAACCCTAGTTACTATCCTTTAAGTGGAGAACGGTGGCAGAACGGGGGTCCGGACGCTTCAGGCAAGGGGCATTTGTCCGGATGTGCCTGTGGCTCCATCTTCAGAGAGCCCAGGGACTCCAAGATCCCTTAATTCAGGAAGATACCTGGGGACCTAGGGCTCCTTTAAGGGATCCTTTAAGGGATCTACTATAGACTGTGGGGTTAAGGTTTAGGGGACTCCAATATCCCTTAATTAAGGAAGATACCTCAAATTATGGTAGGGATCCCTGCTATAGTTTAAGGTGTATGCCTTAATTAAGGGATATTGGAGTCTCTGAGAGGATTTGAATTGGGGGGGGCGGCTTTGGGGATTTCGGGTTTAGGGTTCCTGGCAAGTTTAGGGAGTTCCATGTAGGCGTTCTTTCAAGGTCCAGAAGGGCTTAGGGTTTGAGTTCGGGAGTGCAAAACTTTATGGTCTGCGGGTTTCGGGGGGTTTCGAACGGTTCGGGGTTTCGGAGAGGCTTTCGGGGTGCAGGGCTGTGAATCCAAGGTTCATGCAGGTCCCATACTTGGAGGTTCATGGGTAGTTACAAATGGGCGTATAAGTCCCTTCATAGGACTTATAACTGTAATGACCCTACTTATGACCCCACTTATAACTACCCATGAACCTCCAAGTACTTGCGCAAAAACAAACGTCACACAGCTGACAGTCTCGTACCGACTGCTCCTGCCGATTGCGGCTCTGGTGTGGCAAAAGAATGACTCGGCTACTCGTTCAAGAGCAAGGGCAGTCGTCGTCAGCATCACGAACGAACAAGATAATTTGAAGGCCTTTCGGCAACTGCGGAAGTATAAGAGCAAGGACATCGGGACGACGCGCAGGATCATGATCGAAAAAACCCACGACCGACTTTAGTTACTAGGTAAGTTGTACAAGTACATCTATGCCCGAAGGCAAATCGGCAAATATGAAGGCAATCTTGAGTACCGAAGCGCAGATGTTACTGAGGATGCGAGTCAGACCGAAGCGGCTTTGGGAACGAAGCAAAGAGCACCCGGATGTTGTAGCACAGCAAACTGACGCGTCAGGGTCGTGCCCGATGCTGGATACGGAAAGTGGAACCGCAGATTGCAGAGTTTGGCTTATACCCACGATTCCGAATTCAGGTGGTGTGACTCAGTGTACATTCTGAAATTCTGGGACTCGGAGCCTTGAACCCAACCTCTAGACTCTGAACTTTGAATCTTGCCTACCTGGACCCCCAAAGTATGCAGAATAAAGGCCTGTTATAGGTATTGGGCCCTTATTCTACCATCTTTGGGGGGTTTAGGTACCAGCAACCTCAACTCAGCAAACGATGGCCGCGGACCAGCAAGTAGATCTTGCGGGGATCCAGTGGCAAGTCGGTGCCTGCATTCAGGATCTCAGGGCCAGCTTCCAGCTATTTCATTCAAGCTCCGTTTAGGGTTTAGGGTTTAGGGTTTTGGGTTTAGGGTTCACCTGCATTTCAGACTTCACGAACTCAGGGCTGCTCCAAACAACAAGGTGCGGAGGCATAAACTAGCCGATGCTATGTCAGGGCAAGTTGTGCAGCATCCTAGCCGCCTAGCATCCAAGGTTTAAAGTTTAGACATAAAGCTGACGCAGAAGACCTCAACGCCGAAGGCCCGCGCAGTAAATCCTGAACCTTAACCCTGCAGGCCCAAAACCTAACAAAACTAGCACTGAAACCCTGTACAAATCTTTCAACGCTCAACACGCCGAGAAGACTGGAGCCTCAAACCCCAACCACTCAAGCCCGAAACCCAAAGCCCCTAAACTCCTAAACCCCCGAACCTCTAAACCCCTAAACTCCTAACCCGCCTAAACTCCTAAACTTCTAGAAGCCTACTTCCTGAACTCCTGAACCTCTTAAACCCCTAAGCCCCTAATTAACCTCCAAACCCCTACATCCCGAAACTTCTGAACCACAACGCCCGTGAGGAGTTTGAACATTTCCTGGCGGGCCTCGTGCCCTTGCCTCGGCAATCTTGGTCCAGACCTTAGAAAAAGCTACAGAAGAAGTCCTTGAAGAGCTCCTTTACAGCAAGCCGTAAAGGAACTCCTTCAGGGATCCCAGAACGGATCCCCCTAAAGGAACCCATAAGGGTACCCTTACAGATGCGTAAAAGTTCCTCAAAGAATACCCATATACACTTATAAGGGTCCTTTCAGGGTTCATTTAAGGGTCCCTTGGAAGGGTCCTTTCAGGGTTAAGGGTTAGGGAATTTGACATGCGAGTTTCAGGAACTGAGGTTCAGGGTTGAAAGGTTTAGGGGGCTCAAGGAGTTGTAGGGTGGAGTGTCGGGATTCGGGGTGATGCAGGACTCCACACAGTAGAGGTCCTTGCAATAAGTTTTCTACGATTTATGCCACCGTCCTCTCTATAGTCACTCTAGTCTGAAACTCCCACCTTCAGAGTCAGAGGGTTTAAGCAGCTATTTGCATGCCGCTAAACCCTCAGCCCCAAACCTCACGTGGCACTCGAGGTTCTGAAATCCTACGAGAGATTCCTCTGACTGGGTGCTGTACTGTCGGATCCAGAATAAGGTACTTCGGCTGCGAGATTTTTTGGGGTTCATTTGTGGCTGTGCTGTAGAATTTAGAGGCACGGAGCTGTGCTACTCTTGCTGCCTTGCTGCTTTGAATTACTACTGAACAAGCAAACCCACCGTGGGATGCTGAGTGGGGGGTCACCGACCAGCTGGATTGATGATTCCACGAGGAAATAGTACTCCCTAAACTGAGATAGATTGTTCACCACCATCGCAGCGGCCCGAAATCCCGCGCGCTGAACTGAGGTGATGAAGCTGGAAGTGCAGCAGGTGCAATGCCTGCATGGCTCACTTTTTGGCATGAACATGGTCGGAGTCTGGAGAATTGAAAGAAGTCTGTCGCCAACCCACCCAGGAATCGACTCAACACCTCTAAGCGTACCTAGACGCTGCATGAACCCCCCACGCTCGCACTTCAAAACCCTATGCCCAGACCATCAGAAAACCTGATTCCTATCAGAAAGTGATGATGCAAGCTCTAAAAAGTCCAACGGGCTTGCTGCCCTTGGCTCTGCGATCCGTGTCTGTCTTAGACACATCTCAGAGGGCCCAAGTGCCCAAATAACCAGTATCGGTTCCGAGTGTTAAGGTCTAGATCTACTTGGAGGATCATGGGACTTAGTAAGTAAGGTTATAGGTACCTTAGTTGGGGATATAAGTAGTTATACGTAGAGTTACCCTAATTATAACCCTAGCTACTAAGTCCCATGATCCTTTAAGTGGGTTCCCGGGTGTTTGGCTGGCGGACTCGGAGTCGAGGGATTAAGGGTCGGATCTAGAGTTTAGGGGTAAGGATTCAAGTCGTTTAGGACCGTTTGGGAGTTTCCGAAAATTAAGGGTACCTTATTGGGGGTCCTTATAACAAGGATCCTGCTATTTGGAGTACTATATTAGGGTCCCCTATTTTAGGAAACTCCCGTTTGCTATTCTACGGTACTATACTGTAATACTACTACATTGTATAGTAGATTGCTGCAGTGAGGGCTCCTACACCCTACAAAGATGGCAGCCTGAAGGGGAGCTGACCACGAAACTTGGGCCCATGGGTCTTTAACGTGCGGTTCATAAGGAGGTTCCCCAGTGCCAGGAGAGACAGGGCATGCTTTGCTCCTAGAAGTTCGTCACACAAGCGGACGGGAACTTTCGATGCTGCATCACCACGACAGATCTTCATTGCCATCCTTTGGAACTCTACATGTACTTTGCTGTGCCAGAATTCGGGTAAAGCATTGCTCACTGACAAGGAGGGTCTGGAATCGGCATGCAGAAACATTGCCCTTCGCATTCACATAAGCACCAGTACTGGTACCAGTGCTTGTGCGAGTAATAGTAGTCGTAATCGTAGTCGTAGTCGTGTTCGTCGTGATCGTAGCAGCAGTACTACTACTACTACTACTACTACTACTACCACCACCACCACCACCACCACTACTACTATTACTACTACTACTACTACTACTACTACTACTACTACTGATGATGATAGCAGCAGCAGCAGCGGCGGCGGGAGTAGTAGTAGTAGTAGTAGTAGTAGTAGTAGTAGTAGTAGTAGTAGTAGTAGTAGTAGTAGTAGTAGTAGTAGTAGTAGTAGTAGTAGTAGTACGCGCTTTGCGTGTATTTGACGCTGTGTTTTTTGGTGCATGCATGTCCGAAACACACGGCAGGGACGTCATTGCCGCATGCGCATGTCGTTGTGAGCCGAGCGCCCTGGATCGTGGGTTTTATCGGCTCAAGTGAAAGTCATGCCATGATGATGTCAAACATGCTCGCGATTAGCCCCCCCCCCACCCCCCCCCCCCAGGTCAATGATGATGTTGATGAGTAAGATGATGTTGATGAGTATGATGATGATGATGACTGTATTTTAGGTCGTTCTGGCGCTCGGGTCTGCATGGTCCTTCTTTAAAGAGATTAAAACGAATAACCACGGAAATGCTGTAAATACCAGTATATCTAGGCCCTGAGTATGATGATGTTGATGAGTATGATGATATTGTCTATCACCGTGATGATGATGTTGATGGCGACAATGAATTTGACGGTTTTGAATGTTACTGTTATGATGATGATGTCAAACATGCTCGCGATTAGCCCCCCCCCCACCCCACCCCCCCAGGTCAATGATGATGTTGATGAGTAAGATGATGTTGATGAGTATGATGATGATGATGATGACTGTATTTTAGGTCGTTCTGGCGCTCGGGTCTGCATGGTCCTTCTTTAAAGAGATAAAAACGAATAACCACGGAAATGCTGTAAATACCAGTATATCTAGGCCCTGAGTATGATGATGTTGATGAGTATGATGATGATGATGACTGTATTTTAGGTCGTTCTGGCGCTCGGGTCTGCATGGTCCTTCTTTAAAGAGATAAAAACGAATAACCACGGAAATGCTGTAAATACCAGTATATCTAGGCCCTGAAACCAAGTCGCAGATGTCCCAAAAGCAGGAAAAGCATGGCGTCAAATACACGCAAAACGGGTAGTAGTAGTAGTACTAGTAGCAGTAGTAGCAGTAGTAGCAGTAGTAGCAGTAGTAGCAGTAGTAGCACTAGTAGCAGTAGTAGCAGTAGTAGCAGTAGCAGTAGCAGTAGCAGTAGCAGTAGCAGTAGCAGTAGCAGTAGCAGTAGCAGTAGCAGTAGCAGTAGCAGTAGTAGTAGTAGTAGTAGTTGTCGTTGTGGTATAGTAGTTGTTGTAGTAGCAGTAGTAGTAGTAGTAGTAGTAGTAGTAGTAGTAGTAGTAGTAGTAGTAGTTGTTGTTGTTGCTGTAGTAATTGTAGTAGTTGTAGTAGTAGTAGTAGTAGCAGTAGTAGTGGTAGTAGTAATAGTAGTCATAATGATAGCAGCAGCAGCAGCAGCAGCGGCGGCGGCAGGAGCGGTAGTACAGTAGCAGCGGTAACAACAGCAGCAGGAGCAGCGGCAGCAACAACAAGAACTAGAAGAACATCAGCAGCGGCATTAGCACCACTCCTCTGAACGACAACGACCTGTGGCATTCATCCAAGTTCAACGACAACGACATGTGGTATTCACCCAAGTTCAGGTAGATTTAAACTAGCTATAGTCTCAATCGTAGTTCCTTTGTTGGTTTAACCAACCTATATGTAGGATGTAGGACCCTATAAGGCAACCCCCCCAAAAAGGAACTTCAACGGAGACTATAGGTAACTTCTTGGCCAGCATACCTTTGCATGGCAGAATCACTGGGGAACCTGCGTCTCGGCCCTACTTGGACCGTGTAGAAAGCAGTCCAAGGGTCCATCTCGTGTTGAAATCGAGGCTTGATGATGCAATCCTTTGCTTAGGGTTCAGGGTCTAGCGTTGGGGCTGGGGGTTTAGAGTTCAGGGTTTTAGGAATCCTTTGCAATAGCCTTGTGAAGTTGATTCCTCTTGACTCAGGGGCCCTCGGGGGAAGCCCCCATCAGCGGCATCAGAAAGTCCAGAGCATCGGGGCCCATGGGCTGCACCACCGGCGCATCCTGGGGTTCAGGGTTCAGGTTTGGAGAGTGAGGGGGGGCAAGTTTGAGATCGCGTCAGGGTTCTGGGTTTGATCGTTCTGGGGTTTAGGGTTGAAGAGCATCTAAGGGGTCAGGGTGAGGGATCGCGAATAGGCATTGTCTTCATACATATCAGGCACTTTGTGCTTGGCCACCGTAACAGCAAACCTCGCGGCTCTCGGACCACGCCAAGCCCAAGCTCCACCTCAAGTAAGCTTCGTATAGGGGCCTTGATAATTAGAATAGGGTTTGGTGGTAGATTCTACCAGCAGTATAATAATTCCAATTGTTACTTTGGCTCAGGATCGAAGTCTTCGACTTCGATGCTGGGGAGGCCGGAGATGGCTAGTCTATGTGGGGGGGGGGGAGGTAGAAAGAAGTTGAGCATGGGTGGTCGCGTTCAAACGTTTGGGTAGAATCGCGGCCAGCATAGTTCGAATCAGAATAACGCTTAATATACAGGCCTTGAGGCTGTGTTTGGGACGAGGGATAATATAGGGGCCTTGCTAATTAGAAGAGGGTTTTGAGGCAAACTATACTGTAACCTTATTAAGGAACCCCCAAAATAGGTAACTGTTAAAGCCCTATATTAAGTCTGCTCCTGGATGTACTCGTAGGCCACGAAGCCAGTGATGGCGATCATGGCCAATCGACCATTCCTTGGGGTGCTAGAGAGCTGACATTCCCGAATTCAAGCTTTTGTGGGTGTAGGAGTGTAGCAGTGTACCTATAGTCTCCATTGTAGTTCCTTGTTTGGGTTTAACCAAATATATAATAAGGATCCTATAAGGAGACCCCAAAAAAGGAACTACAATGGAGACTATAGGTAGGGTTTGGGCTTTAGGAAGCTTTCTTGAGTGTCGGGTTTGGGGTCGAGAGGTTGAGCTCGGGCTGTAAAGGTTGAAGTCACCGAAGCCTGAGCTTAGCGGTTTGGAGCTCAGGTCTCAT